TCACATTTCTTGGACGGCCAAAGAAATGATTTCTGAGAAAGATTTCACTTCCTACAAACGCGTCCTTGACGAATCAAGGTTTTATAAAAAAAAAATATTATAAAAATATTAGCAGAATAGTCCGCGAGACAAAAAGCTATTGCACAAGTGTGAAACAGCAAGGCAAAACTTGACGAGATTTCAAAACATAATCATTGATTATGTATAACCGGGTTGAATCCCGCACGTAACGTCTTACAATCGCATCGAATGTATTCAATATGTGCATTCGTTGTAAATTATTTTAATAAGTGTACCGTTTAATGCGTTAACGGTTTGAACATTTAACACGATAACAATTTATAATTTTTGTCACAATATCTCTCATAGAAGTGCTGTGCTTCTTTTTATATAAATTTTTGCAGTATTGATATCACAATGTTGATCTTGCATCAAAGTTGTTCTCATTCCTTTTTTTCTGCCAACAATTATAAAAAAATCGATAATTAATTATTTCCACCAAGATAATTTTCGCTTCGCGAAGTTATTCTCGTCAGCGATCATGTCGTGAGTCGCAATCTGATACGAAACGCGCATAGACCAGCAATATTTCGCTCGATGTAAACTATAATCTTATCTTGCGTTAGTCAGAATACAAATATTCAGCAATGTGTGTGAGACCACGAGATTAATAGTATCGTGATATTATAAACGTCTTTTCGAGATTAACGATACGTGCAAAATTTGGGCATGTGTCTCAGCAGAATGATATTGGCAATGATGCACGCGTGTCTGTCTATATACGCGTGCTGTGCAAAGACGGAATAAAGCACAACCAGCTTGAAACTACCAAACGCAATTTCGCACGCCGGCACTTCAAAACGCAGCGTTAAACAATCTCGAGAGTTGCTCGCGCGGATCCAGTTCGATTCACCTTTCCAGACGTTAAAGAAAGTCGGCGTTCGCGACAAGTCGCGTCTGCTCCGAAAGAGAGATAACAAGACGACGGTCGCGGATTCTTGCAGATTCGGGACATTGCGTAACAAAGTATACATCAGCAGTGCGCGTGGTGCTTGATGACGCTTGCATCATGCACTGATGAGCTCTTTTCGTCTTTATACGAGCAAGGTGAATTGATATATACGTTCATCGATACGACCGGGTTTTTTTTTTTTTAAATACTCTACTAAATGTTTCAATGTCCTACATGTCACATGTTATACAAAATATTAAATAAACCGTGCTCCCTTTCTGTATTAAAATATTTTTTTATAACCGCAAATATCCATGACGAGATGTCTTGTTAATTATATCTTACAGCTGTTGTAAATCTCTTTTTTTTTTTCAAGTACCGACAATCTACTTTCGAATAGAAATATTGTTATATTTTTATATTTTAAAGAATTTTTTATTTTTATCTTCAATTCTGTTGTTCCGGAACTGTATCAAGATTTTTTTTTTGCAAAAATGCAAAATTCAGCGCTTTCTCCTCAAAAGCAAACAAGCAATTAGTATCTCTCGAACACACTGCTATACCATTATCGGGCTATTGTTAAGCGCCTTATTTACCAATCGCAATAATTGGCGTAATGAAACACAGACGATTATAATGTAACGCGGTCTTGTATACCGTGCTATGCGCTTCGCGGGTGGTTTTACATTCAAGTGGCTTTCACGAACTCTCCACGTCTCCGCGATAATCTGGTTTCATTTATGGGTTTCTGGCTTGCGAGAAAGAGTAACGGTAGTTTATTCATGCGCCGTCTCAATTGTCTGGCAGAAGCACAGAATCTTAGACTTGTATAAGTGTGACAGTCGTCTTATATCTCGCTCACAGTTGGATTACATCGCACTGAAATCCGGGGACCGGGTTGATTACTATCTTGCGGGTTATTTGCGAATTCCCGTTCGTTCGCTCTTAATTGACCACCTAACTGGGTTCGACGACGTATAAAGTCGCGATAATATATCACGTATCTTACGTATCCGCGAATCTATTTGATCGTTAAGACTCACTCAGCTTTTTCTCTTCCACCTTTTGCCGCGATGAACTCTGCGACAATCAACTATTATCTCATTAATAATTATATTATTATCATTAACGTTTCTCGAATGCGTTAAATAATTTATAAAGTCCTAAATTTTAAATTTACTTAAATTTACTTAATCATGAAACTTTTAATGAATTAAATTAGTCAATAACTGCTAAATGTTTTCACAAACTTTTAGTAATGTAAATCTCACGAAAAAAAAAACAAGTTATTTGAAAATATATTTACACGAAACAAAAAAGTAAAAAGGGAACCTTTTCATCTGTAATCAATACAGTTTCTCCCTCCTTCTGCATGAAAGAAACTAGATTTACATTAATATATTTTTCATGTGCTCTCTTTGAATTTGTATTTTATATGCTTTTAGACTAAATTTGGCAATTGTTGTTTCTAGACGATTGTTGCGAAACCTTTTTCCTCTACGTTTTGCCAACTAAAGTATCGCGAAGAAAAATTGATTCAATAGGTATAAGTTAAGATTGCGCTCTAAGCATTTCGGAGGATTTGCAGCGGTTATATCCTGACAATTGCACGCTAATATTCGACGAGCGCATTTTGGCGTTGCCAAGCTCCTCGAGCTTGTTATTCCAATGAACAGCGAACTAGCGAACATCAATCGCGGTCTGCTCGATTAAACGGCTGAAGGACGACAATCTGCACTTCTCGCCGTTTATCGCTCTAATCTAAAGATACATTCGGACACGGCCGAGAAGAAAAACATCTTGCAGCGTGTTGACACAGATGCACCGAAGTTACAAGTGACATTAAAAGATATTTCCGATTATAGATTGATACGACTGATAATCCGCTGATCTGTGAAAGAAATCGAATTAAACGTGGAAGGCATATCGTCACGAGAGCTCGCAGAAGCCGCCGGAGCGATTTGAAAAAGTTTCCGGCGGTCAAACGGAAAAAGTTATCTTGAAAGAATTAAATTAATTTAGCGACGAAAAAATATATTGGATGCAAATTATGTTTCTTTTTTCAATCAGATAAATTCTCTGTAAGAATGCGCATTGACGCTGTGAATATTGTCAAATTCTAATTAATTCTAACTAATTCTGCATTCTCTTTGAAGCAGAGTTCTAAACATAGCAAATTTGTCAGAAACTCATCTAACTCGTTTCATTGAACCCGCTACTGCTGGTCATTTAACGACGGATATAATGTTATGCGTCGGATTTCGAGAAAACAAGACCGCACACACTATGCTCAGCAAAGTCTAACGTAAGTTTAGCTACGTAGAAGCTAAATACCGGACGCGGTGGGGTGGTAACAGAGCTGACAGGTGGGGGCAAGGCAGGGTGCCGGCGGTGTCAAACGCCAGCGCGAGGAGAGAAAGAGAGAGAGAGAGAGAGAGTCGTTTCGCGATAGAGCGAGATGGGGGGGGGGCGGGAAGAGGGAAGAAGCGGCAAGACTTCTTCGTTTCGTTTCGGGGGCTGACGGCGGAGATGAGACGAGACGAGACAAGACGAGAAGAACGAGAGAAGCGTTGGAAAAAAGGCGGCCGAACGAAAGAAGCGAGAAGAAAGAGGGAAAGGCGGAGGAGAGAGAGGATAAAAAGAGCGTAGAGGAGGGTGGATAGGAGAGGATAACTGAAGAGAGAAGAGAAAGAGGGAGGTAAGAGAAGAGTACGAGTTAACGAAAATAAAAAAAAGAGAAGAAGAGATAGTAGAAGGAAGAGAGAAAAGAAAGGAAGGGAGAAGAGAGGCAAGCGAAGGAAAAGAACAGAAGAGAGTAGAAGAGAGAAACAAGCGGATGGCCCAGCGTTCGGGAGTAGGAAAGGGGGCGGGAGGGAGGGGGCGATTGGTCGGCACGGACGAGACTCTCGAGACGCGCGAGGGGAAACAGCCGAAGCGGTGCACGGCCGAGACCAAGGGTGCCAGGGTGCGCGGGGGAGGAGAAGGAACTAAACTGAGGGTTGGGGGCCACTAGCGAGGAAATGGTGGGGCCGAAGAATTGGCGAGGACCAGGGCCTCGGGTCGGGGAGGGGGGGCGAGGGGAGGAGGACGAAGATGAGGACGCGGATGAGGACGCGGATCAGGAGAACGAGGAGGAGGAAGTGACGGAGAACGGGCAGGAGGAGGAAGAGGCGGCGTAGCGGGGGAGGACGGGAGAGCGCGCGTCTGGTGGTACGCGGAGGGGTGCCGCGGGGGCCCCCGTAATACGGGGGGTAGGGGTTGCCGCCCCTCTCGCGATGTCAGCCCCGCCAAGAGTAGTCGCGAAAAGAGCGGGGGCCGGGTTTAACCCCTCTCCTCGCGTCGTGAGGTTCCTATGAATTTTGCGACACTCAATAAAAAGTGGTTCCACGAGGTTAACATTTCGGTAACTATACCCTCGCCTACCCGGGACGCGCACGCACGCACCGCACGACGACGACGACAACGACGACGACGACAGACGAGCCGGATCGGACGGACGTGTATATATGTATATACATATATATATATACTTATACTATATATATATATATATACTTACGTGCATACGTACGTATACGCGATCGCGTGTATACTCGCTCGCTCTCTCGCTTCGCTCTCTCCCTCTCTTTTTCGCGCGCAGGGGCCACTCTTCGGCGTACATCACGGGACCACGCACGCACACGTGAGGGCCCCAACACACGCACGCGTGTGCAAGCGGGCGGCACACGCTCGTGTTAAAAAGCGAGGGAAGCGAGAGAGGGATAGGAAGAACGGCGCGGAGGGAAGGAGAACGAAAAAGAGCTTCTCGTGCGGATAGAGGGAGAGAGAGGAAAAGAGAGAGAGAGAGAGAGAGAGAAAGAAAGAAAGAGGGAGTAGAGGAGAGCGAAAAAGAGTGAGAGGAGTTTATACACACGCGCGCGCGGGCGCGCGCTCGCGGGCACTCCGGCACGCATACATGCACGCCGCGCGCGCACGCATACCACAGGACTGCCGAAAAAACTGCACGGGAGAGGCGCAGCAACGGGCAAACCGAACCGCGCGCGAATCAAGTGCTTTGGCCAGTCGCGTTCCCAATCACTCTACGACTAGGTAGTCCCCCGGTGTGTCCCAAAGAAGCGGCGAGCAGCTGGGTCCTTCGGTTCTCGACGGTGGTCGGCGCGCCAAGATAATACAACGCAGGACATTCTAAACGCGCGGACATCGTCTCATCGTTTTCATCGCAATTCCGCGACCGCGTGTTACACGTATATAGGTGAATTTCGGTCACTTCCGCCGAATTTTTCCTTCCGTTTTGTTTTTTTTCCTGTTTTTCACCGTCGTCGTTCCTTTCGCTCTCGACCGACGAGAAAATATACATCGTTCTCGCACGGAATAAGTAAACGAAACAAAAAAAAGTGTGCGTTTCTCTTTTGTTTTATATATATATATATGTATATATATACATATATATCAGTCGGAAGGCGACGTTACGGAGGACACAACAAGGCGGAAAAATAGTGCGCGCCCATGCGTGTATCGACGGGATCGCGAGTACGCGTTACGGTGATCCAGTTACCCGCGTTCTACACGAGGAGAAGAGGAAACGGGAGACTCCTTGAAGAGAAACGATCCACGGTCACGGTGTGAGTGATGCCACGGGATACGCGCTATTAAACCTCACCCGACGTTCTTCATCATCCTCGTCGAGTCACGGGAGGTCAAGGAATTCGCGCGTAATTCAAGGCGATCGACGAAACCGACAGTTTGCAATCCTGAAGAAGATAGCGTGACAGATAGCGGAAGGAGCGCGAAGAGGAAAGTGCGCCACATCAGTTCGGTACGAGTTAAAGAAGAAGAGTGAGAAGAGGTTTCGAACGCGCGAGGCAGAGTAGATTTTACGATTTTCCCGATTTCCCCGCGTGTCTTCGAGATCGTCGGCGATCCGCGGTGATCTCTGTGAGACTGCGTGAAGAAGAAAAATCGGAGAAAACTCTCACGTCAGTGAAATACGCAATCGTCCCGCAAAATACGTCACTGCGCGACCGCTTTAACGTCCCGTTTATTTGTGAGAAATTCTACGCGCGATTCGTCCAACTTCCGCTGCCGGAAGAGATTGTAAAGTACAAGTTGACATCGGACGGCAGCGACTCGGAAAAACAGAAAGGTGAAACGGAAGGAGACAGAGCGCGGGAGTAGAAAAGAAGAGCAACCGAGTACGCGCGTCATTCTCTTGCGATATTTCGGCGCGGCTGGAAGAATCGGCGGAAGTCGGAGGCGAAGGTTTCGCTCTCTTCAACGAAATCGTCATCGTCGTCGCATAGAACCACGGGGGCTCAGCATCGACGACAAGGACGCCGGGCAAAGGAGGTCCGACACTTCACTTCTCGCTTAGCGATCAAGGTACGTCCACAGCTGAGATCGGTGGCCTTCGGCCGCCTGTGCGGCTTCCACGGTATACGTGGTCGTTAGAGACAGAGGAAGAAGTTTGGGGAAGACAGAGAGGGAGGGAATAGAATAGAAAGAGACGAAGGTAGAGAGAAGGAGGAGTAGCGAATGAGGGAGAGAGAGAGAGAGAGAAAGAAAGACAGAGAAAAAGAGAAAGAGTAAAAAGTTCGGGAGGGGGTACTTAAAGGGGGCGGACGAAGGGGCAGAGAACAAGAGAGGGATAGACGGAGAGAATGCGCAAGGTGAGAGCGAAAGAGAGAGAAAGAATGATAGGTAGGAAGGGGGAGGGAAAAGGGGGCGAATGCGAAAAAGAGTGCCAGAGAGAGAGAGAAAGAGAGAGGGAACAAGCGTTTGCATGTATCTGTCGCGCGAGTCATAGCGGTATGCGTGCATGCAAATATGCGAGTGTGCGTGTATCGCGACGGTGTTGATGCATGCATATGCACCAACACGAGCGCGACGAGGTAAGCGATAATATGCGCGTATGACGGATGTATGTGTGTGTGTGTGCGTGTGCATGTTTGCACTCCGCATGTGTGCGTGTGTTTGTATACGCGTACACTGGTTTGACACGTACGCGCCGTTGAACACCTAGTTAGCAGCGTTGCTAGCTAGAATATGTGCGTGTGTCCTTTCATGATTCCACATACGGTGACGTGTCTCGTATGCCCTTGCCTATGTATGCCAGACGGCGAAGGTGACGGGACGGCGGCGGCGGCGGCGGTGGCGACGGCGGCAGCGGCGGCGGCGGCGGTGGCGGCCGGCAACGCCAGTAGCGGCAGCGTTAGTACCGTTTGTACTGGCGCGGCTAGACTCGCGCTAGACGAAGATAATGCCAGACGTTAGAGAGTGCCTGGCACATGACGTAATCCGCCCGCCCGTCCGTCCGTCCGTCCGTCCGCTCACTCTCTGTGAGAGGCGCTCCGGTCCTCGTTTGTCGTGCGTCGCTCCGGGGCCATGCCACGACCGTGCCACGGTCGCCGCCACGCCGCGTTGCGCCGCGCGTACGCGCTCAATTCTACGCGTTCACTCTCGTTTTCCACCGCACCACGCCTCGTCTGGCGCGAATCTCTCTCTCTGTTTCTCTCTTTCTCTCTCTTTCTGTTTCTCTCTTCCTCTCTCTCCCTCACGCCGCGTGGGAGTAATCGGTTTTTTTTTCGTTTCCTTTTTTTTTTTTCAACATACCAGATTTCGTCACGTTGCCGCGCGCGCGGGTTATTTTGTTTTTTTATTCACCGACCGCGGGCGATTACATATTTTTTAGGACGCAGGATTTTAGCACCTGCGAGTTTACGTGTATATGCATATCCCGCGTTTTTAAACGGGAAATATATTTCTTTCCCCCCCTTTCTTTTTCCACGTCGATGCGCGGAATCCAAAGAAACCACGTGTTGCGAATATTAAGAATGCTCGGTATAAATATGAGGCATCCCGTTTAGGCGCACGATTCGAGACGGTATTTTTTTCGCTTACACCTGCGACTGCGAGAATTTCTCCTAACCGTGCTTCCTTCTCTCGCCGCGCGTTTCCTATTTTTACGAGCGACGCAGGTTGGGCTTGTTGCACGGCCGTGCAGCAAGTTGAAAACATCAAGCGGGCCTAGGTATAAATAGATCCCGCGAGTACCGAACGTCAGAGAGAAAAGAAAGAAACTACGGGAGAGGACAGGACGCACGGTGTGCGATACAGAGGACGGAATGGGAGCCGGGAGGCGGCGGGGGGACGAAGGCGGCTTCTGGTAGAAAATAAGAAGCGCCTCGATGATGATGCGTACGTTCTTGAAAAATTTAGCCGCCGCGTGTGCATTCGCTACGTATGCGCTTCGTATACGCGTGCCGGCGAGACGCGTGTGCGGCCGTACAGCAATAAAATTTCCTGTACGCTCAATGCAAAAGCGATTCTCAAGGATAGACTCCGAACAACAGCGTACTTAATCTCTTTCGTTAGCGATGTTCCTTGAATTTTTCAACCGCGAGAGTCGATATCATTCCCATAATTAACGTTGCTCGGTTCTAATATTACCGAATGCTCTCGCCTGGTGATTTTAGCAATAATTCAACGCGCTTTACGATAACGTGAATGATAGTGTGCATAGCAATATCAATTATGCCGACAATTGTGGCAAGAATAATAAGAGTTCCGTATAAATCCGATGATAAAAATCGTAAGAATTCTACGTTATTGCTATTACATTCTTTTTAGGTTTTCTCTCTAACACGTTACGCTTTCAGCTTGTAATAATTTTTTTGATATATAATAAATGTGTAAGTAACACTGATAAATTCATTCTTCAAAATCAGTTGTTTGCTTGAGAAAAAATATAAGCTTCGCCCGCTTGTAATATCACACATTTTATCTATATCTAGCTTTTCTGAGTTTAGTACGATTTATCGATACTGATATCGTATTGCTTCAGTTATTTAACAATTTTGTTGAACAGACGACGTGATAATAATCAAACTGATTTGATCGTTTCCTATAAATATGAATTTGTAAATTCGCACAGACTCTGCTTTGTTCTCGTTAAAGCGGAAAATCTTTTCGCGTGCGCGATTTCGTTCGTCTCGATTATTATCGGGACGACCATTGGCTCCTCATTGACTAATTTATAATGCGATTGGCGCGATCGCATATTTGCACGGTAGCATTAATACATCGAGGCAATTAGAGCGGCAATTGCCGCTTAATTTTCTCGGAAGCACCTGAGCAAGAGAAAAGGGGTGTATCCGATAACGGTGTGTTCTCCTTGAACCGTAACGGACGCTGAATCTCACCCGTTATTCCCGTTCTTGCTCTGCTCCTTTCAGTCCCCTTCGATTCTCCGCTCTGAGAATCGTCGGACACTGCAAAATGGCTGTGCGCGATCTTTCTCGGTACTTTCTAACCCAGTTCTATGCAAATAGAAACTGCTCCCTTCGAGACTCGAGGCAAATGTAGTTTTGCAAAATTCTGTAAAGTACGCGCGCAGGAGATAACCATGAGATAATAGAAATCCCAGAAGCCGTTTTCTCTATCGAAAAAGAGAAAGAAACTCTTCGAGAAGAGGAAAGATTTTTTTGAAATATACTTCAACTGTCAGAAAGTAAATGAATAATTTTTACAATCTTTACTACTTGAATTAACAAGATATTTAAAAATTAAGAATTATGAAAGATAATCGTTTAATTTGTCAAATTGCCGTTAAACGAAACGTCGCCTTAAAATGATTAAAATGTATAAATAAAGTTTATGCATATAAGAGTTAATAATTATTTAATCGTATTAGAAAATTTGTACGATTCTATAGGGCGTTCCGCATCGTCTGTGACTTACTCAATCGCATTTTTTACGAATAATATTTCGCAGAATTGCCGCAGCTACATTATCAACAGGAAGTCTTATCTTGCACAAATAGACAAAATATCTTGAAGACAACAGTTAACATTCGACGATGGTGTTGAATAATATAAGTATGGGTAAAAATTTTAGCCGCTTAGCATCACAATATTAATGCCAAGTCTTTTATCGCGCGGGAGCTAGAGCAATTCTACGAATAGAAGTGTAGGTTGCGCGTGCAGGTATGCATAATACGAATCAGTCGATTAGATTGTATGCCTAGTAACTAGATTACGTCGTGGCGACCGCGTTATCTGCGAAATTAGACTCCGACAAGCGACGCGTTATTTAGGCGCGACGAACGCTTGCACGGAACGCGTCTCGGTTGGGAAACTGCCGTTCACGTTACAGGCTGACACGTCAATAATCAGCTTACGATGCTTCAACACTATCGCGTATTTTCAATACTGATAATTTAACTTTAATATTATATAGCTATTGATACTTGATACTTGATGGTGATCGAAATAGAAAAAAAATGGGCTCAATGAAGAACGACATTCTCTTTCGTCTCTGCTTTTATATACTGTAGATATTATATCTTTGTATTGGATTTTTCTATTGCATATTATTGCCAATTTATTTTTAATGTTAGCAAAACACTCTAATCATATTGAACTTTGTTAATTGAATTCTGCAAGAATTTGCTTTATTATTGCACACAAGTAATAAGGATTCTGTCTTTTTAAGACGCGGATACACCCGAAGAGATTATCGCGTGATATATATCGCTATCCTATTAAATTTAAATATTCCTAAACACGCGGGACGTTTACGTTCCTCGACGATCGATAGCGATCGATGCGAGAGCGTGCGCGGAACTACACGCGTGGATAAGCGAGCGTGCTCGATAAAATTAACAAAGCGAATTCATTCACCGTCCCGGCCAGCGCGAGTCAATCGAATAAATTCCCGCGCGCACCGATACAAGACACGATTGAATTGCATATACTGCACGTAAATTCAGGTGCTCGGCGACTATGCGGCCACGCCACGTTTTGCATGCTGCGCGTTAAAATTCGCATGGTCGACTCCGCGCGACGCGTACCTTGAAAAGAGGAAGGTCGCAGGTGCGAGATTTAACAAATCGCGTCTTGCAGACTCTCTCTCTGTTACTGCGTACAAAAGAAATCCGGGGAAACGGTTTGCTGGACGCGACAAAAAACCAAGATTAATATATGCTAGAAAAAAAGAGAAACATATAGTAATGAGCGATAGCTGTATAAAGATAGAATAAAAAGACATATTTTTCTTTCAGATTGTTTTTTTTTTTGCGACTATCTTGAAATCTCGCTACTGTCGAGTGACATTAGTCATATTACTTCTCGCAGAAATAATCCACGGATATACCGATAGATTAAATGTTAATCCTTTCCAGAGGGTTACCGCGAGATCGATTTCTCGCCTTACTCGTTTTGGCGGTTATCAAATTTTTAGAAACTTCATCCGTACGTGTCTTGCAGAAACTTAATTCCATATCGAAATAATGAAATATTCTACTTATCTTCTATGATAGTCAAAACTGATTATTATCTTTGTTTCTTTTACCGCGATTTATTAAATCGCGCATATCAATAAATAATCGCTATCACAATGAGGGATCGATGTCAAAATTGCAACGATTATCAAATTATCGGAACGATCTCACGCGATAGCGTTTAGCAGTTGGCATCATTTCTTGCAATCCGGAAAGTCGCGGAACGAAAATAATAATAACAATAATTGCTATCGTATCGCGTCGGAAGCGAGGACTGTTATATGTGCAGGACGCGACGTAACAAGATAAAGTTATCATCTAGGATTCGAAGGTTGTAGGAAACAATGGTTTTTCTAAATGGAGGGGAAAGAAGAGGGCGCATTTCTTTTTTTAAACAAAGGAAAGGAAAAAAAAAAATGAAAAGCGCACGACAAAACGTGTCGCGGTGGCAGTTATGTTTGCATAGGCGTGCAGGAAGGTCAAAATGTGGACACAATGAGGCGCCTATTGTGAAAGCGGCGAGGAACAGCGTCACTTTATTTGAGCCACTTGAAATGCGCACGTCAGCTGATCATGACGAATCATATCCGAGAATCGGCGGGGTAGTTACCGCGACCAGAGTATAACGCGCTCGTCGGCCGGGTATTTATGTGAGCGTGAGCAGCCGCAACGCGGTTCCTTCCTTCGGACGGTTCTTTGTTTCGTGCATTATACGCGCATGTGCACGCGCGCACGCCCACATCCGCGCGCTCGGGCGAGCGAAAAAATTGTGCATGCTTGCACGCGGATGTGTGCGTTTATGTGCCGCGCCAGGCTAGTGTCCCGAACGTATGTGAATTAGGCAGCCACCAGAAATAGGCTGTCGTAAAAAAAAAATCGCGGCCCCAATTTCTTTCTGCAAGTCGCCGTCAACTCCGCTCGAGCGGAGCGGACGCATCGAGCGATCGATCGCGAATTTTCGCACAGCTCGCGATTATATTTTCATACGAATTGCCGGTTATTACAACTCACAATTACATTTTCTACGATCGGAAATAAAGAGCTCGGTGACGATTACGCGAAGAGTTGGAAATTCGTTGAAATATCAATTACTTAGTAATTTTTAATTCTAAAATAATGGAACAGATGTTCTCTTTGTTTAGAAAACTTACTCACGATATCACAGCCTTTAGAATTCTATGTTGATACGCAAAAGCCTTTATTTGATATAAATGCGGATTTTTAATCGCTTCTCCGATAAAAAAAATAAGTGGACGTGAAAAATAATTAATTATAGATCTCATTTCTTTCTTTGCAAGCCTGCAGTTTTTTCCTTATATTACGATATTAGATATATCAGAAATTAACTGATTAAAACAAGCTATCATTTTAGCGATGATTGACATTGATAAAACTCTCTTGAATAAATATTCCGATTAGACGACTGAGTCATTAATTTTTTTAATTTAATTATTCTATGTAATTGATTTCTCGCGCCTGTTTTCAACATTATTCCTTGTATATCGAAGAATAGATGCACTTAGCATTAATAAAAATTGCGCTCTCTTTTCACCCAAAATCTTATTTTAATTAGAAGTATATCTTCGCTTGAAATATGAGATTTTATATAATCCTGTAATCGACTTGCATGCCGCACGTGATATGCCCGCAAGTGCGTAAATGAGTCGTTACAGGTGTGTCTAGTTTCGTGTAAAATCTGATTATACATCTGTCTCGAAATAAAAAAAAAAAGAAAAAAAAAACCGTATAAACGTAAGCAACGTTCAGGGTCGACATCGAAAGCGCTCGTCTAAAAAATGCCAGTGGCGCATCCTCTCAATACTTTACTACGATTCCATTTTAAACTGCACGTTGTGAATGTATGTATTCATATGTATGTACATGTATACTGTGCTGCAAACTCAATGCAGCCGACTGTCTGCGCTACAATTAAAAATATAGCTGCTGACCTGTTTTCAGTATTTTTAAGCGCCGACAGAAATATTCGTGGATCATCATGTCTCAATTAATCGCACGGAATATCGCTGGAAAGTGGGTCATGCCGAGACAAATATGAATGGAAACGATTTAAAGATCGCTGATCGACCGATGATTGTCCCATAGATCAGTTTTTATCATCACTAGCTAATTTCGGGATGTGCATTTCTAGGGGATGCACTTGCCGTGAAAAATAGGACGAGAAGTGCACTTTTATTTATGCATTTTCTTCTGCTTTAATCAGAGTCAAGATTTTGTATTTAAATCTCCCGTTTATTTTAGATAGGACGGATGGCGGAACGTATTAGGTTACGCTAGGTGCAGCGAAATGCATTTGTTGGAGCATATTCGTTGCCTTGCGTTCAAATCACCTCTACGCGATAATACAGAATGAATCTAGCACAATTTCGCCGCGCAGCTCTAAAAACCCTAACAAAGACGTTAATTATTAATTTTTTAATAATGAATTAAGCGCAGAAACGTCAAAATTAATTTACCATAAAAAAAAAGGAAATGCTAACATTAAATAATTTCTTAATAACATTTCTTAATAACTTCTCTTCCAGAAGTTATAATATTATAAGAATATTATGAAAAGAAGGGAAATTTCGCAATTAGTTCGACAGTTTTTTTCATCACGATGATCCACGCGTATCGCAATCGATACAATTTTGATAAATTTGATTTTCAATATTGAAAATCGTCATCATTCGGTTGTCACAGATAAAAATGGAGACCACTTTTGTATGTTTATAAGTTTCGACTCACCGAAGTTACCATTGATTCGAATATCCGGTTAGAGCGGCGGAATCGCAGTAGTACAGAATAGTGTAAGAATAGACGCGCGGCACTAGTCTTGTACGGGAGTGAAGTAGCGTGTATCTAGTATTGGCCAGACGTGAAAGGTTTTCGATGCCCTTCTCGCACCTGAAAGCAGCACCTGGAACAAAAATGGACCTTGCCATATGAAGTCGATGAAAGTGCGATGTTATATCGGTCTTTTTTTTTTTTTTTTTGCCAGTCAAATATCTAATTTTATGTCTGTATCTACTTACAATCGTACACGGAGAAAATTTTATATCAAAAATTACTATGTATGGCAGTAGCCGCGGATCATGAAGGAATTATAAAAATTTTTACCATGTTTTTCACATGTAAAACATAGTAAAAATTTTCGGTCCGCGGCTTCATGGTCTGCGGTTAATGCTGTACATAGTAATTTTTGATATAAAATTTTCTCCGTGTATTACTCGATGTATCACTGTTAAATTATATATCGGCTGATATATTCTATATAAAAAGTAGCAAAAGAGTAGTCTCTCTCTCTTGATAAATTTGCTAAAATTTTTTAAATATTCAAAAGCGCCAATCTTTGCGGTTCTTTTGCTTTCATAATTATATCAATATGTAAAATCGGGATTAATTTAGAATGTATTCTTCGAGGATTATTACTAAAGGTTACATGTAAATTATAAAATGTTGATAATGACGTTTCTTTATAAGGATTCGTATATGAAAAAAAAAAGAAACTAGTAAGAAATTATTCTTCCTTATGCTACTTTTGTGCATACTTTGGGGATTAATCGCGGACACATCGAGAGAGCCAGTATTACCTCAGTTCGGCGATTTGTTCTTTTTTGAATATCTCTTTCCGTGACATAAACAAGGAAAAAAATTTGATTTAGTCGAAGGCAACGCGCTACGCCTTCGTCATTGGTGCAATCGGCCGAGGTTTTTCTCACCTGATCCGTCGAGGTACCTCGGGCATTCCCACGTTTAGCGCTATGCCGGCCGTGGCGAAGCGTACCGTTGAAGAGAAATAATTGGTTGTTTGGCTGTCGACGGATTAGCCCGCTCGAGGTCAACGGCCACCAAATGTTTGCGAGTGCAGGGGAAGAGGAAAGGGTACCGGTTCGCACAGAGGTGGTAGAAGGAGAAGGAGAGGCAGAGAAAAGAGAAGAAAGAGAGAGAGAGAGAGAGAGAGAAAGAGAAAAAGAGGAGACGGGGGTCTCGGAGGGCAGACCGAAGCGATCGGGCGACTAGAAAAGGACGGACGAAAGAATGGGGAAGGTACACACGTACGTAGCGATCAAACGTATGCTGCCCCGATGCCTCACCTCCGCCTTTTGTTACTTCGCGTGTGCAAAGTGCATTTGCGACCCGAACCGACCGCGTCGCTTCCCTAAACAGGGCGATTTATCGCCGTGTGTAGTCGCCGTCGATCCCGACGAATCCCGGAAAACGCCGGTCTCGTCGGCGATAGACGGTACTTTAACCGGCAGGTGCACAGCGCTAACGATATTTCCGAGCCGAATTGAAGGGGAGGGGAAGCCGCTTTAGGCTTCGCGCTGCTTCGTACGTCGCGCTCATTAATTTGCCGTCTGTTATAATTAAATAATAGATCTGCTGTCCATCATTTATTAAATGACGTTGTATAATTTTCGGAATGCTCTGCTTATGTCGAATAGATGGGCAGCGATAATCAACCAATCGGTACTTCAATCGACGACTCGGCGATCGTACGATTCTCTACGCACTTCTGCCTTCTAATAACATGTCTCCGTGCATTACCTTTATGATTTTATTTCTTATTCAGGTCGTTGAAAAATGGAATGTACATGCTCGAAGATAAAATTGTCAGATTTTGGAGAAGGGAGGGTTAACATGTTATTTAGATGATTTTAAATAGAAAGGAGGTCATGCGAGAATAATTCCTATTCTAAACGTAAAACATATGAGAAGCAGAAATATTACTTGCTAACTGTATTACTTTGGAGTGTTTAATAATTATGCTAATGCTATTCTAATCGTGTATCGTTATTCTTCTTATTTACACGAATTCACGAGTGTTTCGAGATCATTCATAATGATTTATAATAATTTTGAAGCACTCCATTTTTCTGCAATAACAACTCTATAAATACCTGTCACCGTTTTATGTGACGTTTTCGAAAATTATTCGAATAGCATTGCCGAATATCTTATCTTCCCGTTAAAATAACCTACATACTCGATGTCATATATATCAGCGTAATGCTAAGCAGGCAGCAAGATGTGGACGAACGATACGGAACGGTGGGGAGTCGTCCGTGCGTATGAAGAAGATAGGGTGTGCAAGAAAGGTCGGCTCGGGCGATTACATGGTGCAGACGCTTCTGGTTGCAATTTAAGCATCTCTCGGACGCGCATAAAGTTACGTTACAAAGCCCTTTCTTTCTGTCACACGTGTTACATATTATAGATAAACAGAGAAATGGTAGAACCATCGATCAAATTTCTTTCAAATAATTCTCCGTTTAATGGCGCGTCTCTGTAATTTTGAGACAAACAATTTCTTCTCGTTCTTATAATTTTATTTTTCTAATTTTTGTAACTTGAGAATGCACATTAATTATGAAATTGATAAACTATGTAAATTTATTCGAAAGGAGAATAGAAAATGTAAGCTTTATATAATTCTTATTTTATACATTTCGAATTTTTGCGACGTTCGTTGAAATGAATTCGTTGAGAATCGATAATTTGCAAACTCGAAACTTCTGCTTCGTAAAATACGTAATAGTTATTAGTTATACGCGTTCGCTTCATCCAGCAGCGGCTTTTATATGCATTCACTTTTGAGAACATCCTTGAGATTTCGCCAAATCTGAGCGAGGCGTTCGTTAAAATCAATTACGTGTGCGCGTGCGGCTGTAAATCTTTTGTCAATCGTGTCTTCGATGCCCGCGGGATTGTGAGATATTCTGCATTTAACGCAACTCCCATATTCGAGGTGGATTTATTACATAAGATCAAGGATTACCAGTTCCGCACTGTTCGCCCGCGCACACTCTCTATCCTCTCTTTTTCTCTCTCACATACAAACACACACGCACACACAACGTTCTCTCTCCGTCTCTTTCTCACCCGCGATGTGGTCACCTCTGCTTTTGGACACCTGCTGCTTCTCGCTGATGCAGACACGAGAGCCTGCGAGCGAAGCGCAACGTCACGTGATCGGACCTCTACTAGTGCTATGTATATGCAAAACCATTGATGTACGGAAGGCCAGTGAAAGTAAGTTCCGTCGTTTCTGCGACGTTTCGTATGCACGTCTCGCGCTTCATCGTCGGGAAACGATAATGTTATGACCCTGGCGAATTTGCATTTGCATTTTTGTGGATAATATATGCCGTTTGATATGCTCCTTGCTGAAATCGACCGCTCATAAAATAAACGACTGTTTTGCGTCATCGGTCTACACGTTAAAATAGTTATATAATAAAATATTTTAAATAATAATTTAAATAATAATAAAATATTTTTTAGGACAAAATCATAGATCTTTCTCAAGAATAGTTTCTTTTTTTCTATAAATGGATTTCGCTCGCATGTGTGCATCTATGTCAATCAATCGTTTGCAAAACTATCCGTAATAACCCAAGTTAAAATTTGAGATTGTGAGTATTTTCGTATGTTGCAAAATACGTATCGTATTTCATTCGTTTATTTCCATTGAAGGAAGTCGCAAAAATAACTCGTGCATTTCGAGCGCTTTCTTATATTTGACAATTGCTCAATTTAAATTTCAAATTTCTCAATATGTGTCGCATTGTAATTAATACTTCTTTCGCTACTCTTTGTTCGCAATCGTACAAGGACACGTGTCGCTCGCTCGAAGCGTATTACAAGCATTAACGCAAAATCTAACACCACGTGGATCGCAGAAAGGAGAAGAGAGAGAGAGAGAGAGAGAGAGAGAGAGAGAGAGAGAGAGAGAGAGAGAGAGAGAGAGAGAGAGAGAGAGAGAGAGAGAGAGAGAGAGAGAGAGAGAGAGAGAGAGAGAGAAGAAGAAGAAGAAGAGAGAGACGA